TGCACTTCTATGCCCAACGCCCCCTGATCTCTATCTAGACAAGGAGGCGAGGGCTAGTTTGTATAGGATTAACGCCCAGGGCGGTCTGAGCTTGCTCTCCTACTGATTGAGATCCATGCTCGACTCAATTAAGGAATCACCGGTCTTATGCATGATCTCAGATATCATGCGTCCAGTACACACTTTTGATAAAAAGTATATAGTGGAATTACCCTCCAGAGAAGACTGGCTGAATGGCCAGGTTATCTGTGAGGTCGCTAGCCTCATATGGTATACCGATGGGTCTAAAATGGGCCTCGACGTAGGCTTTGGAATTTACGGGGAACGCCCCAAATTCAAACTTAGTATGAATTTGGGTAGATACGATTTCGATTCGGTGTGCGGAAATCAATCTGTAAAAACACTACGTCAACCATAAAATTTACATAAACTCTGATAGTCAAGTTTTCAAGCTACTGGACTGGAAAGGATACGGTATTAACATCAATGGCGAATGCATCACTCACCTTCGATTTGCCGACGATATAGTCCTTATGGCAGAATCGCTGGAGGACCTTAGCACTATGCTCAATGACCTCAATGGTGTCTCCCAACGGATAGGTCTTAAGATGAACATGGACAAAACAAAGATCATGTTTAATGTCCATGTCACATCTATGCCGGTAGTTGTTGGGAGCACTATGCTCGAAGTTGTTGACGAGTACGTTTACCTAGGACAAATAGTCCGACTAGGTAAGTCCAACTTCCACCGAGAGGTCAATCGACGGATTCAACTCGGCTGGGCAGCGTTCGGGAAATTACGACACATCTTCACGTCAGGTATACCTCAATCTCTGAAAACTAAAGTGTACAACCAGTACGTGTTGCCAGTGATGACTTACGGATCTGAGACGTGGTCCTTCACTGCTGGCTGTATGAGGACGCTCAAGGTCGCTCAGCGAGCTATGGAGAGGGCTATGCTCGGAGTTTCTCTGCGTGATAGACTCAGAAATGAGGATATCCGCAGTAAAACCAGAGTGACCGACATAGCCCAACGGATTAGTAAGCTGAAGTGGCAATGGGCCGGCCATATAGCTCGAAGAACCGATAACCGATGGGGAAGAAATAAGGAAAGACCCCCCAGTAGATGGAGTGACGACCTGGTAAGACATGCAGGAAGTCGGTGGATGCAGGTGGCTCAGGACCGTGCTTTGTGGCATTACTTGGGGGAGGCCTATGTTCAGCAGTGGACTTGTGAAGGGCTGTAATGATGATGATGATGATGATAGTCAAGCAGCACTGCTAGCGCTGAGATCAAACTTAGTGAACTCAAAGCTAGTTGGAGACTGCGTGAACCGTTTAAACGCTCTGGTAACAACAGGGTCGTTTTAAGATGGGTTCCGGATCACGAGAGTATTGTAGGCAACGAATTTGCCTGCAATAGCAATTTGCAATTTGGACCTGAGCCATTTTGTGGAATCTCAAGAAGCCTAGCCCGATTGACCCTTGAAACTCTTTATCACAATAAATCACTTAAGATCTGGTCTGACACACCAGGCTTAAACCATACTAAAACCTTAATCCGGGCTTTTGAACGTAAATTCCCTTCAGAAGCCGCGGGATTAAGTAAAAATAAATTGCGCATTCTGGCAAGAGCCCTAACTGGACACTGTTGTCTCAAAAAGCATATGTCCATCCTGGAACTAAGCAACTCAAGGATGTGTCGGTTCTGTTCCATAATGGAAGAAACGCCTCTACACATCCTAACTGATTGCGGACCCTTAATGCGCAAATGTAACACTCATCTGGGAAACTATCTACACCGCCCAGAAGAAGTGAAATTGCTGACGGCTAAGCAACTCCTTCTATTCATTGAAGACATAGGGCTTAGCCGTGAACTATAGCCATAGCAGCGATCACAATAGATCTTATAGGTTGCAGTGATACTGGTCTCTTTCCCTAGACCTGCATAGCTCCTCGCATATAATTAAAAAAAATATCGGCGTTTCGTGTTGCGTATCATCTGGTTACACCGATTTCTTACAGTTTTAAAAATGGAACAATTTTCCTCACACACCGCTTTTTTATATTTCTGAAAGGCCCGGTCTCTACACCTCATTACAACGTGGATCTCTGTTGTCATCCAAGGTGAAGGCAGCCGCTTTAACTTTACTTTTGATGGGAGCATACGTATTATAAAGATCAATTAATATGTTATTAAATGCGTCCACCGTGTACCTTACCGTTTTCGTCTACTGTGGGAGCAGCTATCACCTTGTCCCAGTAAATTTTAGAAGCATCCTGACATAATTTCTCTACATCCATACGGCCAAAACAATGCAAGTGAAGGATTTTAAGTGAGGGTTTAGGAGGTTTCAGGATATAGGAAAGGAAAATGAGATCATGATGAGAGAAACCAGATGCATAATGTTGACCATAAGAAGAGACAAGGGTGGGGTTTGAGGTGAGCAATTGAGTCAAGTGTCCTTCCTGTCCGGATTGTGGTGAGTGGCTTGTAGAGGTAGAACATAAAGTCCAATCGACTTGATTATTTGAAGAAAATGCTGCAGGGCTTTAGTGTGAACATTTTGCCGTGTCTTTTCAAGAATTCTTTAAACACAATCGATGAACCTTTAAACTTGGACTTTGCCCTCCATACCAATGTTCTAGAATCAATGTCAACAAACTGTACTAAGATTGGTTGTTGATGGTTTTTACTGACTACTCCAATCCTGTTACAAACTCTGATGCTAGAGGCTGTAATATCTGTTAATCCCATCTTGTGTGCTCACCATAGTAGCTTTACAATCTTCCTTCTCTACTTCGGTAATACCAAGGAAAATGAGAGCCTTACGATGATGCTCGGTTTCAATTCTATTTACCATATGAGAGCACTCAATAATCTGCTTTCGAAGCATCCCAAGCATTGAGAACATGAGCACATCCGGTCCGGAATTCTTCAGCCACCTTTGCAACAGTGTCTTTAGCAGGTCCCCTAGAATGCAGTTGTGCTGGAAGCACTCAGCCATCCTTTTAGAAAAGCATTCCTCTAGTGTTTTGAGCAGTTTTTATTTCTTCTAGTTGAGACATTCTGTTGTTAAAATTATTCAAACTGTAATGTGCTGGCAGGTAGTGAATTTTAAATCAGTTTACATGCATAAACATGTAAGTACTAATTAATGAAGTACTGTTGCACAAAATAAATACATAAATAATGTACTTTAATGTATTAATTACTTTAAAATATATTATGAAAAGGTAAGAATGTGTGCACTTTTTCTTCACCTACTGCCAAAAGAACATTTACACATACTGTTCCTGATAAACATGGTATGGAGTGCTGATACTCACTATGATGTTTTATTAAGGAGTCAAAGCACTCCTCATTATATTTTATTTATTATTACGTCACACTGCGCGCCGGGATAGTTCGAATGATAAGACGAGGTGTAGTTTTACTGGCCTCAGTGCATTGTTTGCAAAGCTCTGTCTTCACTTTTTTATTTTGTCTGTATAAGTTAACAAAGTTATAACTATCATTGGAAAAAAGTATACTTTTAAGTTTCTAACCACTGCTTCTTGTAAGGCCTCAAGCTCAGTAAGCACTTCTTGAAGTAATGTTGTAGCTATTTTACTTTCAAAAAGTGCTTTATTAAGAAAAAATATTTTGACGACTAAAAAAGTTTGAAATTCTTTTTATAGACCAAGAGTATTTACATTTATTTTTTATTTATACGTGGTAGAGCCATGCTGCAGTTATATTAGTAGTATAGGTGTAGCAAAAATGGATCGGCTCAACTGGGGAAGGACCACACTCTCACAGAATACCAGCGTGAAATAGTAGCTTAATGCTGCTGTATTTCATATGGTGAATGTAGAGAACTGGAGACCCTTTTTACTGGAAACGAGGCATTTAATCTTAGTCCTCACGGGTGACAATGCACCTGCATTTTGTTTTGTAATTGAGGATACATGTAGATGTCTATGGGCCGCAGCAATCACTTACCATCAGGTGGACTGTGTGCTCGTTTGTCACCCTATCCTATATAAAAAATATATTATATTACCTGCACTGTAATTAGTTGATTGATCTATTTTTTTGCATCATTGATGCACATAAGTTTTATAAAATATTTGTTTAGTTTGGTATATTGTAAGTTTCACCTGTGTTGGAAAGTAACCAATATATTTCAACTAAACAAACATGGAAGAGAGCCAATAGAATGAATTTTTGATTGTTTTCAACTCTTGTTCTGTCATTATGAACAAAAAGGGTTTGTTCCATAATAGAACCTAGTGTACTGTCTAATGCAAATGACGTCATGAATCGACACTATACTGGTGATATGTTCCAAAACATAGGACAGTATAGGACATCATGCATTTGCAGCATATTGGAAGTGTTGGCGATTATTTTGTCATTTCATGCTCCAAAAATCTATACCCTCCTAATGGAGATACCAGCAATGATTCTATAATTTTTTGTATTTGAATAAATAAAAACAAATTCTGGCATGCTTCATTCAGCGCGCACACAATTAAAAATTGTTTTATTATGGCCGGATATCTGTCACAATATGGTGGCGGCACGCCAGTACAATATAGTGTCAACTAATGACATCATTTGTATATATATTCAGCAGTATACTAAAAATTTTTCGAAACATACCCAAAATATCACACAATTAAAATGACAATAGCATATTGTATAGTTTTTATAGAACGTAATCATCTACTTACTGCTAAACACTGTGCCTGAGACGATGTTATTATTACTCACCAGCCAACTAAACCAAGTCCTGACTGGATAATGACTAAGTGGGGATGCATAACTTACACTTTTAGCAATAAAAACCTCCATGGTCATTATAATCAATGTTTAAAATTTTTACTTGTGAATACAGCTTTACTATGTTTTGCAATTAATGAAAATGTAACAAATGATATAAACAATTTTAAAAGAAAGCTTATTAAACTTACATAGTGACACATTAAACCTCATAAAAATACATAATACATACCTAATAATGTCAACTGTGCCTTTTTGTCTATAATTATTGTAACACCATCTTGTTTTACCTCTTCGTCTAACTTGTCTTTAATTGTTGCATAGTCTAAAGTATAAGACAATCCATTACAGCCTCTTTGCCTGACACCAACTTTTAGTCCTATATAACCTTTAGCTTCTTCTTTAGACATTATTTCTTTGACTTTCTGAACAGCTGTGGGAGTAAGTACTAATGCAGCTCGAGAAGGAAGTACCCTTTTCTTTACGGCTCGGACTGTAGCACTTGCGATTGATTTAGTAGCCATCTATGAATAATATAGAGTTTAAATTAAAAACTATTATCTAACAGAATAAAATATACTAACAGCTTTATGGATTTACGACATTTATTACAATTAAATAAGTAATGATACATAAATATTGTGTAAGTTTTGTGTGTGTGAGTTTAAGGAAAATATCAAAATAAAATATATTTACCCCTTTTTACTAAAAAAATTTTGTTGCCTAAATTAAAAACTAATATATAAGTCAAAACAAATTGTAATTTTCGTGAATTTTTGGCAACAGATGACATTAATTTTGACATTAAAAAAAATATTACTATCTGTCAGCTTTGTGGAGGCATGGAGGTTAGAGAACAGGAGAACGATCGAAAATACTCCCAGAAATATGGACAAAATAAGTGAGGCGCTGTAACCGCTAAGTTGTGTCAATAAAAGCGTGCTTCTGTGCGCTGGTTTGAAATGATTATAATATCATTCAAAGAAAAAAAAAAAGAAAATAACTTATTATTAATAATATTATTTATTGATAAATAAATTAAAATTACATTTTTTATAATTTTTAATATTATAAATTATTACAAATTTAAATTATTATTTATTATTGATTTATTATTTTTTGAATAATATTTCACCATTTTATGTTTCTTTTTGTCAATAATTAAAAAAAATACTCCGTAGATACTAGGTACTTACCGACGGCAGCGCGGCTATAAATTCTACAAATTTTCAAGGACAGGCGGGCTATGCTTTAGCACGTTGCGATCGTGCTCCGTAGATTACTGTATATATAGGAGAACGATCACTGTGGAAAATAGTGTCCCAATAATATCGACAAAATAAGTGAAGCGCTGCGATCGCTAAGTTACCTCAATAAACGCGGGCTGTTTGTGCGCTAGTTTGAAATGATTATAATATCATTGAAAGAAAAAAGAAAATAACGAAATTATTATTATTTATTAATAAAAAAATTTAAATTATGTTTTTAATTATTGATTTATTATTTTTATATTATTTCACCATATTTTTATGTATTTTTCTCAATAATTAAAAAATTACTTTGCAGATAATACTTACCAACGGCAGCGCGGCTATAAATTCTACAAATTTTCGGGGACAGACGTGCTATGTTTTAGTACGTAGCGATCGTTCTTCTGTTCTCTAACCTCCATGGTCAGCTTATTACATATTTATTATCTATGCTATCTGATTTGGTTGGATTTGGTTTTGTATCTCTAGGTATGGAGTTTAGAGGTAAGGAGAACAATCTCTCATAGGAGAAAAGTTGAAAAAGTGTCCATCAGTAAGCAATAATTAACAGTTCAAACACTCTCCACAACTTCGCTGGAATAGCTACAGGAAATAGCTAAATGAAATGAACTTAATAGTTGTCGACAGTGTGAAGTGTGCTGCTAAACTGTTCAGTAGCTCTTAAATCTAAAATAATTTTATTTAATAAATATAACCTCGAAAAATTCGTCTATCTCACTAATATTTTTCGATATGTTCTTTAAAATTTACTCCGTAGCTATAGTGGCGCCACCCTTATTTAACGGTTTTCTACGGACACTTTTTAATACAAAGTCTGTACTCCTTACTTCTACACACCATACGTCTACGATTTAAACGTAACTCAGTACGGTCACAGTTTAAATATAGGAACAGTTCGGAAACTAACTACAAACGCTCAAAACGGCACACTCACACTAAACATGTACAACTACGAGACTCCTAAGCTAATGTCGCGGTGAACTCAGAAGCGAGCTCCGATAGGAGTAATAGTGTTCTGTAATAGCGAGTGCCGCATCAAGACGAGTGGTCACGTTTATCTCCACCATGTTTTTAAAATGTCACGAAGGTATTGCGTAGTGTACGGCTGCTTAAACTCGGTTTTATCAAAACCGGAGCTTATCGTATTTTAAACTTCCTGCTGATTTTGAAAGGTAAGAATTATTTATTGTTATTGTAATAACATTATCGAATTATAAGTACGTGTGATCGATCATTATGAATTCGTGAACTTATGCAATAGTCGTAACTATGGAGTGTAGAAGTAAGGAGTACCAACTCCCACAGTAGAATAGTTGAAAAAGTGTCCATCTGTAAGCAATAAATAACAGTTCAAAAACTCTCCACAACAGCCCTGGAGTAGCTACTGGGATGAAATGAACTTAGCAGTTGTCGACGGTTTGAAGTGTGCTGATAAACCTTCACATCGACAGTACGCTGAATTGGAGAACTCAGGTTTCAGATGTGAGTCGTAAAGTCACTGCCACGTTATACTCTCTGTATCTTTTAAAGCATTTTCTCCCCACAAAATCTAAGATCATGCTTGTCTATTCACTTATATTACCCATAATTGATTATGCATATGTGTGTTACCCAGAACTGTCCCAAGATCTTCTGAACAAGCTGGAACGCCTCCTCAATAACTGTATAATATTTATCTTTGGGCTTCGTAAGTATGATCATATTTCGCAATACAGATCTAAGCTAAATTGGCTTACAATCCGGCAGAGGCGCAACTCCAGAATATTACTTGTACTTTTTTCCATATTAAATGATCCATCTTCGCCTTCTTATCTTAAGAGTAAATTTCATTATCTTTCCTCATCTCATGATAGGGTCCTACGCTCTTCTTCTAACAACAAAATCTGTACTCCAGTTCACTTTACCGAGTTCTATGGTAACTCCTTCACAGTTCAGGCTACACGCCTTTGGAACTCCTTGCCCGATGACATCAGAAAAGCTCCCAATAAGTACGCTTTTAAAAAGTTGGTCCGTGATCATTTATTAAAGACAACGCATTCTACATGACTCATCTATTTAATATGTATTGCCAAACAGACGTATATATTCATAGTCATTTGTATATACTAATTATGTATGTATTCAAATATGTTTACTTGTATATATATCCATTTATTTATATATTTGTATATATGTAAGGATAGATCATATATGTATAGTTTATTTATTAGTAGTTTGTATATATTATGTAGTTAATTATCATTTGTATTGTGTTATCTTATTCTATATTGCCACACCTACGTCAAATTCTCACCACTTCATGGGTTGACTAGTAGAGAATGCCTCAAGGCATTAAGTCCGCCCTTTGTATTCTTTTGTTAAGGATGCAATAAAGAATAAAATAAATAAATAAACTGCTCAGTAGCTCTAAAATCTAAAATAATTTTATTTAGTAAATATAACCTCGAAAAAGTAGTCTATTCCACTAAATATCCCATTAATTACTCCATAGTGGTAACAAAAAATAAATCCAAGACGGCGGCTTCAATAATTATCAACTGAATCATGGATAACATTTTCATGGTTTTTCGAGAGTTTTGAAGCCGATAGTGCTGTAAAACGTCTTGGTTTCCTTACTGTCTATATTTACACTGTGATAAGGCATTCAGTATATTTTTAAAACTACGAAGAATCTAGTAATTATGGTTAATCAATATGGTTTTTGAGATTATGTGGTATATTATTAATTACATATATAAAACTTTTGAAATAAAATATTTTTCTTAGTTCAATAATTAACGTAAGTTTATACGGTTGACATTGCCTAGAATTTAATTTCGATTCAGTAAAAATTCGATTAAGGCTTTAGAAAAAGTATGGGTTTCGTTTCATTCTATCACAGAGTATTACAATATATACTCTTTTTATTACAATATATACTCTTTGGCACCTATCGACTTTTCTAATTTTCTAATAAAACTAGAAAACGTAGGCTAGGTAGGTATATATAGGCTACACCATAATATGCTCTTTGTAGGGGCACCTAACGTGCGTAAGCAAAAATTAGTAAATTGTTATTCACGACGTCACTTAATCTCGTGCTTCCCGGGAAATAGTATGTAAAAAAAACTGTTACATGTGCCTATAGAGCTTTCACTTCAGAAATGATAAAAGTCAAAAAGCTTTCTCTTTTTTCCGGGTTAAGCGTTCGCCCAAAAGTTGGCATCATCCTGCATTGGTTTTTGTGGGATTCCCGGTTTAATAACTATTTGTTTACATCAAGTTATTGTGATCAATGTACCATATCTACGATCCGTTCTACATTTTCGTATATTGTTGAATGTAAACTCTATTCCAATTACGAAGTCCCATTTGACAGATGTCAATAATCAAGTACTAGTAAAATGCCGCTATAGTTAATACTTGACGATATTGATATTCGATTACTATAACGAACAAATTAAAATCATATTGACAGCAAAAAGATTAGCATCAAATTAAAATTTATAAAACTGTTTTTTTTTTTTAATTTTAATTAGATAATATTACATGATATTTATATCAAGATGGAACTTATTCGTCGTCACTAGACGAAATCGATATTTCATGGTCGGCATCGTCGTCATCACCCTCATCATCGTCTGTAGAATCCCCTGTATTTATTATAATTTGGTTATCTATGACGGCATCGATATGTATGTCTCTGTCCCAATCAGCGAAAATCAAATGTTTTGTTCGTAAAACCACACTTTCCCAATTCGCGGCAGTAACACTATCACAAGCTTCTTGCAACAATGACAGCATTTTGTTTACAGTAAACGATGGGCTGGTATTTTTACGAGCCGCATAACCTAAAATAAAGGTTTAACCATAACTCATAACCTAAAATAAAGGTTAATATAGCAACAGATAAAATGTTAAAATAGGTAAAAATAAATTTTAAAAATGATTTGTTTAAATTCTTGCCTTTAATTTGCGCCTTGTAATGTATTTGTATTTATAATGGTAGGGTGGAAGGCGCATTAAATTGTGTCCGGCTTCCTTAGCCATTTCGTCCAATACGTATTTTGGTCTAGCTGGCTTATTTATAGCAACCAAATGCAGCAGCTCAACTTTTAACATGGACATGTCAGCAACAATATTATTGTCATTCAGCCATT